GGTCACCCAACTTTTGAAACTTGCAATACAATCATCGAAATTTTAGTTCATTTTTAGTAAGGTCCCTGTCGTTACCTCCAATTAGTTTTTGCTGATGTGACACCTAACCCCCGTTAATCCTCTCCTTCTTCCTCTTCTTCTTCTCCTTCTACTTAACCAACTGCAGACGGAGGAGGGACGACGACGACGAGGCAAGATCGACTGAGTTTTGGTTGGAACGGTGTGAGGACTCCAATAGTGGTGGCGGTGTGGCGAACGGATGGCCCGATCAACCAAAAATAATGAAAACAGAAAAGGGGCATTGGGGTTTTCCGAAGAGATTCGGGGCACTCTCCACGGCGAACAGAGGTGAGTCTTAGCGAGTGACTAGGGGAGTTTTGGTCAGAATGGGATGACACTCTATTGGTACTGGCGGTGACAGTCACCAGCGACTGACGACGGGGGATCAAAGATGGGTGTTCGAATGGTTTTCTCGTGATTTGGGACAAACGGTGGACAATGAGTATGAATTGAGGGTCGGTGTGTGATCGGGAGGTGAAGCCGGTGATGATGATAATGGCGGTGTGAGCCACTGCTGATCAGAGATGGGGTGACTGGATGTGTAAGAGAAGAATAAGAAGAAGAAGAAGAAGAAGGGGGCTAATGGGGGGGTTGACGGGGTTAGGTGCCATGTCAGTAAATATAATGGCAGAGACCTTATTAAAAACGAACTAAAAGTTTGATAATTGTATTGCAAGTTTCAAAAGTTGGGTGACCAAAATGTAAACACCCTAAAAATTTGGGGACTACTTATATAACTTTTAAAAAAAATTAAGATTCTTTCCGAAAGTTCGGAAAACTTGTATAACTTTTAAAACTGTAAAATAACGCCACGGCAACGAAGCTGGTGAGAAAAATAAAGGAGGATATGTGAATGCAATTATTCCTTTAATAGTGGAATGCTTACTTTAATTTTTTTTTATAAAAAAGTTGAATGCTTAAGCTCAACCATGTAGAATTGTGTTTGTAATCAATCAATACGTGATCCACTAAGACTTGACAACAATCCAAATTGCCTTTCTGTTTTTTTTTTTTCTGGTAAATCTCAATAAGACAGATAAGACTGAGTATTTATTAATGGGGGCTTCTACATAGTGGATAACGAGTCGGAGATATTTGAAATCCTTTCCAGCCTTGTCATTGGCTCATCATTTGAACTCTCAACTCCCCACCACATTTCTCCTGCTTGTTTCTTGGCCATCCATTCCTTGTTTGGTTCTCCAGCTTCCACGCATATAATCTTCTCTTTCCCTTCTCCAACCTCTAAATTATTAACTCTCAACTTTACAAAACAATGGCTTCAATGCTCAGCTCTGGAACTGTTCTTAGCCCCACCCCATTTCTCGGTCAAACCAAAAATGCTAACCCTCTTAAAGATGTCGTTCCTACAGGCGCTGCCAAATATGCAATGGTCGGTTCTGTTCTTTGGGGGTTCTCTTTGTTTCTTCTTAGAATTTGTTCTTTTCTTTTGTGTGATATTGGGGGTGTAACGTGCAGGGAAATGAACTGTGGTATGGACCAGACAGAGTGAAGTATTTGGGACCCTTTTCTGCGCAGACTCCATCTTACTTGACCGGTGAGTTCCCCGGTGACTACGGTTGGGACACTGCTGGTTTGTCTGCTGATCCTGAGGCCTTTGCCCGCAACAGGGCTCTCGAGGTAACCTTCTAACTAAGGTGTAAATGAACATAGCGTTTCGATCAACTCGTGTAAAAAAAACATGTAGGTAATCCATGGGAGATGGGCAATGTTGGGAGCGCTAGGCTGCATCACACCAGAAGTACTGGAGAAATGGGTGAGGGTGGATTTCAAGGAACCGGTGTGGTTCAAGGCAGGAGCTCAGATCTTCTCGGAAGGTGGGTTGGACTACTTAGGCAACCCCAACCTGGTCCATGCTCAAAGCATCCTGGCGGTCCTCGGGTTCCAGGTCGTCCTGATGGGGCTGGTCGAAGGGTTTCGCATCAACGGCCTCCCTGGTGTTGGAGAAGGCAACAATCTTTACCCCGGTGGCCAATACTTCGACCCTCTTGGACTCGCCGATGACCCCGTCACATTCGCAGAACTTAAGGTGAAAGAAATCAAGAATGGAAGGCTGGCAATGTTCTCCATGTTTGGTTTCTTTGTTCAAGCCATTGTTACTGGAAAAGGTCCCTTGGAGAACCTCTTGGACCACCTGGACAACCCTGTTGCTAACAATGCTTGGGTCTATGCTACCAAGTTTGTGCCTGGATCCTAAATTAACATTAGAAATGGAATGGACATGTGTATGTACGTATCTATGTAATTGTAGATTTCCCGGATGGCATACTCTGTGTTTTCCACTTCCGCTGCTTTCAAACACTATCTTTAGGGATCAGCACGGTTCTCCCTACTTAATAGATCATAGATCTTTGATGTAAAGGCCTTGCCTCCTCTTCATTCATTCAAAAAAAATTTGTGTATGTCATCTTATCTCACCTTATAATCATATTTAAAATATTTACAAACCTTGACACATTAGTAATTATAAATATTTTAACACATTAATGTATTAATATTATATTTTGTCATATTTATATTATGATTATAATACTCAAAATAATGGAATTTAGTTTTACAACACTTATATTAAACAATTGACAGATTGGATAAATTAAAATGATACTTTTTCATGAGCTTACCTAATGATCTTAGTGATTAAAGAGAGTGTTGTTCTCTTTAAAAATTCTGAATTCGAACAACTGTGTCTGTATGATATGTACGTTTTCAAATGCATATAAATGTTTCTGATTTCATCTGTTTTACAAAGAAATTATAAACATCTACATCATTACCGACACAGAATTATACACAAAATTAAATCAAACCAACAAAGCAGCCTCAACTATCAAATCAACAAATCCATATTTGTCTTATGCATATATGATAATTTCTCCCACCAAAGTAACAAAAATTGGTAGATACATGCAAATACAGTGTCTCCTCATTGTTCATGGATTGTAGATATATTTGTTCCCATATATGTAAAGAAATTGTACCTGAGAGAGGTAATTTGAAGATTAAGGTGTTTAAAGAATTACATTAAAAAAACAACATTCTGTGATTATGAAACAAAATCTGATATGAAATGAGTTTTGCTAGGAAGAATTTACATGATTGTATAATTAAAAAAAATCTGCTATTTTTTTTAAAAGAATGAATTTTAAAAATAAAATATTGATGAGAGTATAAAATGTAAAGGGATTGATGGAAAGAAAGAATTTACTAAGAGATATAATCAAAGGATCAAATTGAATAAAATGTAAAGTTGAGGGACTAAATTTTAAAATGAGAAAATTTATTGTCAAAAAGAGGAATCAAAGTTGCATTGAAATTCTACAATAGTAGATAAGCATATAGTTCAAATTTGGTTAAAATGTACTTAAAACGAAGGAAGAGTTAAAGTAACAATAAAATTATGCAAAATTGTAAAAAGAGGAATTGAATCTAGTTGATGACAACAAGAGGATCTTATCTATTGTGAGTGGTTCATCCCTTTTGGTTTGGGTGAAAAATCGCAATTGGTGAGGAAACAATTATTGACCAACATTTCTCTGTGTGAGGGGGTCGATCATGAGGAAGGAGAAGAAGGAGGATGAATGTTCATGGTAAAAGGTGGCAGTCCCTTTTCAGTCGTGTTGAGGAGTATTTATAATGACTTTTAGTACGTGTTAATAGTATGGTCATTATAACTATTTTTAAGTCAATAGGCTAGGTAGATCTTGTAATCAGACATTGAGTTTCTCTCTGATAGAGCACATGAACTTGTCAATGATCTTGTCTAAAAACCTTGTCTATGCGTTATAGTTGGCTCGAAGGCTTCCTTTCGAAGGAGTCAGATTCTTAGGAGGCTCTAGTAATCGAAGGGGCTTGGTCGATGGAGAGTTGGTAGATCCTAGAAGTCATTCTCCGGAAATACAACAAATCTACATAAGTATTCTATCGTGGTTGAGGAGCATGTTCTTTAAATTGTCAAAAACATATTTAAAACAAATGAATAATTAAAGAAACAAGAAAATTATAAACCAAATTGCGATATAATCAAATTACTTTGCTAAAGATAAAAAAATATCGTTTTAATTTCGTTCTCCTGCAATAGGATACCTTCCTCCGATCTTGAAGCTCTCTTAAAAGAGAGAATCTTATCAAGGATGCTTCAAGTTTTCCGATGAGGTTCAAAAGCATAATCGCCTTTGGGGAGAAGGACGTCGTTTCCTTTTTTCTGGTTTTGGATTAATTTCCTATGATTGATGCACCATCTGACCAAACTGTCTGCTGTTTTAATTTTTACTAACATTAATTCGTCAAATGAACGGAATCAAATTTCAATCGATTAATCCAGTTAAAAACAATACCCTACCCAAAATTGGAACAACCCTAGCTGATGATGAAAGTGAAATGGCCCGATCGGCTGGTTGGTATTTGAAGAGCAAGCATGATTATCGCCATGACATACCTAACGGGAGTGATTGGGGATCCTTGACAAATTTTGCCAAAGACAAATATCCCATTACTCACCTGTCTTTTGAGTACAGCAAAGATTTTCTTGTTTGACCATTTTCTTTTATAACCACCACCATTGGAAAATCAGGTGTGTTCATGTCACAAACATACCTTTGATTTTGTTTTTGTTTTATATTAATTTAGGGTTGAACAATGATCTAAGATCCCTCAGAGATCATCTTATATCATGAATTCAAATTATGTTCTATAATCCTAAATGCATATTTATTTTATCGTAGATGAAATATTTCAATTGTAAATTATGCAGATAAAGTTACTCAAACTCAAGACCTTTAAAGAGAAAAACATTCCATTTTCCCACTGAAATTAGTATGAAAAATCATCTTTAAAGATTGTAAGTCGATCTATAATGTTATCAAAAGAAACCATTGACCCAAAGAACGATAATGTTATCAAAAGAAACCATGTTTAAGGAACGATTAAAATCCAATTCAATCTAAACTCTTCTTTATTAAAGTATGGGCATAATTCTACTCATACAAAAGAAGAAATCACTCAAATATGGAGAAAACAAAAATAAATGAAACTCAATCTACACATAGCTTACAATCCCCTCTACAACCCTTCCAAACCTCTAAATTCTTGTAAAAATAACTATTTTTTGTATAGTAATGACATTGCCACATATCATCAAAGCCGGACCCAGGTCAGTGTTTCGTGAACATCCCTTGTGTCAATGATGAGAAATCATAATCCTTACCTGATTGTGAAGAATTTGCTGACGTAACCGGGGAAGCTTGTTGAGGCTTACTTGCTCCCGTCATAGCAACACCATTTGCAGGGGTAACTTGTCCCAATGCATAAAAGCTACAAGAAATGACAAATCCCGTATTTTAGGAGCATGGAACAGTTCGAGTGAAATTTGTAATATATCTTTATAATTTATCATAACACGTCAGTGGCACAGGGTTCTGAGAATACAAAAAGAACCTTCATAGTGAATTTAAAGTGTATTGCATAACCAAACTCGTGGCTAGGCCGACGGTAATACAGGAGACAACCAAGAATAAAGAGATTAAATATGTACCTGGATGATGGATATGCAGCAGAGTTTGCAACTGGTGCCTGTCCCATACTCATAGCCTAACCAAATGGAAAAAGAAGTTAGGCATGAGAAACTTACTGGAAATATTTCTTTAAAAAAAACTGCAGCTATTGAGTCTACCTGCATGAATTTCTGCAGATCAGCCTGCCCAGCAACAGGCATCATCATTCCTGGGATTTGGTAGCCCATGTTTGGCAAAGTTTGAGTGGGTATGCTTGGGCCATTGGATGGAAGCTGTTGAGTATTTCCAGGAGAAGATTTAGCTGCCGCAGCCATTAGAAGGGATTGTTGTTGTGCTAACAGAGCAAGTTGTTGTTGATGCATTGCAAAAGGCGACACCATATTGGACTGTAATTGATTGAAACCATGAAATTAACAATGTTATACCCGACAAAGGGGGAGAAGGATCACAATTAAACAAAGTCACGTTTATCACTTAGCTCCAAGCACAAACTGTTTAATAAATAAGTTTTACACCAAGGATTCATAAGATACAAGTACTGACTACAGGCTGTTGAATATATACCTTTTCAAATAGGCTCATAATATCATTTTTCATGTCTTTTTTGGGCTTCTCCGGGACTTGGTTGGCTGTCAATGGAGGCAAATCACCAAATAAATCCTCAATTCCAGTACTAGACTGGGTATTACTCTCAGCAGCTTTTGGTGGATTGGGTTTGTCAGCTGTGGAAGCTCCTCCAGCAGCTACAGAATACCATGTGTCAAATCAGCAGCGCCGATTTTGGCGAATGCCTTAGAAATAATATGCGTTAGAGTTGGTAATGGCGAGTCTGTGGTGTTTTGGCATGACATTTGGTGGGATTCGATTCCTTTAAAAGATCAGTTTCCGAGGTTATTCGCTCTATCGGTTAACAATGGGGGAAAAGTTGCTGATTTCAGGGTCAATACTTCGTCAGGATGGTTGTGGGATTTACAAATGAGAAGGAACCCGGCTGATTGGGAGTTAGATCAATGGCTTTTGCTTAATTCTATGCTGAATAACTCTTCATTGTCGGCTTCGGCGGAAGACTGATTGGTTTGGGCAGGGAATGGGGAGGGATGTTTTTCAGCTAAGTCCTGTATTAGGAAATACTTTGAGATGACGGATACTAATGTTATTTGGGATAAACATGTTTGGTTAGGGGTAGCCCTGCCCCGAGTGGAAACTTTTGTCTGGCAGGTTGTCCATCAAAGATTAGCGGTTAAAGAGGAGTTGCTGAAGCGTGGAGTTGCAGGGATCGTGGATACACTTTGTCCGTTGTGTGGCAAGTTTTCGGAGTTTGTTTCTCACTTGTTTATGCATTGTGAGGTGGTTTGGGGTTTATGGTCTAGATTATCGCATTGTTGGAATGTTTCCTTTGTCGTTCCAGAGAGTCTGACTGCTTTGATCTCTGTTTGGGCTGATCTTGTTCCGCGCTCCACTATTTGGACATTCATTCCAGGGGCGGTAATGTGGTCGGTTTGGAAGTGCAGGAATGAGATTATTTTTGAGGAAGGTAAGTTGGATTCAATGCTGCTGTTTTTCCTTGCAAGATATAGGATCGCAGCCTGGTTTGTAGCTAGATTTCCGGATGTGAAAATTCCTTTTGATTCTCTTGTGGGCGATCCAAAAGTTGCAGATTTTGCTGTGAGTTCTAAGAAGGCTAGTTCTTCCTTGTCGCGCTGGGTTCCTCCTCCTTCGGGTCTCGTCAAACTAAATGTGGATGGTGCTATGGTAAAAGGATGGTCAAGAGGAGGATTAGTGGTTTGCTCAGGGACAGTGATGGTGTGTTGTTTGGTTCATTCTCAGAGAGTGTTGGTCCTGGTCATCCTATCCTTGCTGAATTATTGGCAATTAAAAGGGGCCTGCTTCTATTTGTGGAATCTGATTTTGATTCAAGGGGGAGGCTCATTCTTGAATCGGATTGTTCTACTGCTTTGGAGTGGATCAAAAATCCGGGTCGCTGCACTTTGTTGTTCGAATCAATGGTGAAAGATATTGCTTCTCTTGTGGTAGAACAGGATGTTATCGTTAGGCATATTTTGAGATATGCCAATTGGGAGGCGGATGGGTTGGCTAAAGCTGGAATTGGATGATTCCTGTGTTGTGGGTCTGGGTGATGATGTTATGTTTTGGGTTGTATGTTGTGGGTACTGTGTATGGAACAGGTTTTGTAATAAATTTTCTATTAATAAATTTTTGAGGCACTATTTTCATCCTTCCAATGTCCTTCATGCTACTGCTGTAGTATGAAGGTTATGAAGGGGGGTTTTAACGAGGCCAACCATATTTTTATCAAAAAAAAATATTATTAACAAGATACTAATGAAAAAATGTCAATAAACAAAAGTTCTTGAGAAATGTTAGGACATACACTGGAAGCCCGCCCAATCATCAGTAGAAGTTGCCTCAGAACTATTCTCACTTGGACTATCATCGAAGGAGAGCATGTTGAAAAGGTCTGTAGCATAATCGACTTTAGGAGCTGTGACTATGGGAGCAGTCTCTACAGCTGACTTTGTTGCCTCAGCTGGTGCCATAACTGGTTCAGGCTTCTGCATGGGTGTAACCTATTCAAGCAGCGTGTTATGTGGTATGAACAATATTTTTTTTTGAGATATGTATATGTATTGATAACTGTTATTGGTATTTATGAAGGCTTAGAACTGGGCTTGCTATCGTGGACTTCTGTGTAATATTCTCTTCACTTTTAAATTTAGTCGGGTCTTACGTTTCTGTCTATATGCAGAGATTTTTTCGCAGGGATTTATTTGCAGGGATTACTTCCCATTTCAAACGCGTATATAATATTAATGATATTTATGACTGCATATGAATACTGTTCAACTATGTATTTATGTATTTATTTATACATGCTTTGCATTTTATCTATATTTTTAATTTTCTGACTGCCGGAGGTCTTCCACGGAAGCTACTCTCAACCTGGCGTTGGGGGCAGCCTACTACCCTACCTCCCCCTTACCCCATTGCATATGGGAATTGGGTTTTGTTGTTGTTGTTGTTGTATTGTATTTATAAAAGAGGTAAACTAGAAAATAATACTATAGAGTTCTAAGCACTAAGCAAGATTGTAAGCTAAATCACGCACAAAACAATTTCAAGATTGTAGTTCTAATTGATACCATTTATTTGCAACTTTAGTGAGCGACAAACTTTCTTTCCATATGGCATTTTTCGCATACTTCTTCATTCTATTGCTAATCCTCTAGGTTATCCATGTAAATGCATTAAAAGAATTAGCAACAATTAGCAACAAAAGAACTTAGTACCTGATCAGGTCCCTTAGGAGGAACAGGAAGGCTGACTCTTGTTGCAGGGAGACTTTCTTTATGACCAGATGTTTGTTTATTCCTCCTTTCCTCAAATGAATTCTCATTATTACTAATGTGCCCGTGACCACTTGTTTCAATAGGTCTCTGCCAACGTGAGGCAGTCCTTTCGTCCAACCCACTAGGTGATGATTTTGATCTTCCATCCCTAGGAACCCATCTTTTTTCCTCATACCTACAATAAGAATATACAATAACAATTACTATAATATCCCAAAAAAAGCACTTAACCTAAAAAAGGTTAATGGTGGATAAAGAAAACTCTATGATACATACTTTGCACGGATGAAGTTTTCAATTCCAACTCTATCATAATTAGGGGGCAACTCAGCTTCCCAGTAACTGTTTGCCTTTTCATTCCCCATTGCTGTATAATAAGATAAATCATTGTCATACATTGTAGGCTCTTATCCATGTTAACATTAAGACCATCATCCATCATGATAATACAAATTCATGAACTAACAAATAACTTACATTGAATAAAAGAAACCTGCTCAGGAAGCCATGTGTCTAGTGTAGCAGACCGAACCTGCAACAAGAGTCGGTAAGATGTTGGTATACATTTGATAAATATTAACTGTATTCCACTAAACATAAAACCAAGTATAGAAGATGAAACATGTGCAAGAACTATCAGGTAAAAGGGTTTTTTTCCCTGATAACAGTTGGCATCAGAGACAATTTGGATAACTCTGGAATCACCTAGATACAGTGCAGAGAGAGAGAAAAAGATGAAAGCTTAGGTTGCCCCAAAAAAGAGCAATCCCAACATCTAAGTGAGCTAAATCCATGCCCATATTGGAAAAACTTTAGAAGTAGTCTGTTATGGAAAATGTAAGTATAGAAAGTACACAAGTTGTGACGGTGGCAGCAACTCAATGAACCATCTCAATAAGGAAGAGATAAAAGTATGTATTCCAGAGATAAGAAAAGCACCTTCGATATGTGTACCCCAAGACTTCTGTGTATCCCAGAACATTGCATGCATATAAAAATACCTAGATTCACACTTGCCCATCTTGGACCTCTGTAGAGAAAGGAGACAATTATTAGCACTGTGATAAGAATGAATGTTACCACTGATTCATGAAAGAAGCTAAAAAGTTCAAATTTCATTAAGATGATTTCTATTTTGGTATTTGCTATCAGGGTATAAACAAAATTTCTGGTAACATACTTGGCTTTGCAGTCGGCACATTCCCTATTCTCTGGCAATTTAAGAAGACCTTCAATAATCTGCATAGGAGGTGAAAAATAAGAACTTTAATCCCAGTAACAGACTGACCAAACATTAAAATTGACAAAATTATGAACATGATATATGAATTGACAAAAAAATCGACTGAATGATCATATCATATAGATTAACATTCACATAATCATCTAAATATTCGGGAGAAAATATGCATTTAGAAAAGAATATGGAGGAATTTAACACCCTCTACAACCTAATGCATACGCCCTGATGCCACACTAGGAAGATTGAGAAAAAATTGTTCCTGTAGTCCAAAAGCTTTTAAATATATGAACAAATCAATTATAATCAGCAATATCCACGAGGATCTTAAAGGGAAAAGCATAATTAGGCAAAAGGAACCCCAAACTCAAGCAAAATTGATGGACGATAACTCTCAGAAATTGTAAGATGCTATTTAAAACGAAATTTTTAGCTGATGAAATTCCATTAATCTCAATGAAAGATCTACCTAAACCGATCTTAATCTAATAAATTTTTTACATAATCACCATTTATTCATATTAAGAAACGCCTAAAATGAGTTCATATTCGCTATTCCACATTCGATTGGATAAAATCCTTCATAAAAAGCGAAAATTGAAATCAAAGACCCAACAAATTAAGACGAATAAAAATCAAGTGAAAAGCAACAAAACTTGATATAATAAACACAGATCAAATCAATACAGAGCCGAAACACAAGAAAGGTACTTGGAATTACGATAAAACAAGGTCAAAAAGGAATTTTTTTCCGGAATCACCTTCCGATGTCTTGCGTTCAGCTCCTTGGTAACGCTGGCCTTCTCGTTCATGTTTGAGATATGAAAAGAAATCTACAGCGAGAGAGCGGTCGGAGATATGCCGACGAAGACGACAACAACGCCGGCGACGACCCCGACGAAGAAGAAAGGGTAATTTCAAAAGAAAGCAAAGGTCAATTCGGTCTTTTTGTCACCTCTCTTTCTCTCTTCTTTCCTCTCTTCTTACTCTCTCTCTCTCTCTCTCTCTCTCTCTCTCATTCCACTCGCAAGAAAAATTAAGTAAAAAAGAAAAGGAAGAAATAAATCAAGGTCAAATTTTACTTTTGATCCTCTATTATGCTCAAATTTGAATTTAGTTCCAATACTTTATTTATCATAAATTAATGCTTTTTTTAATATCATTAATTAATCTCAATAATTAACATTAATCTTGAATTCAGATTCGAGCATCAGGAATGACAATGATATAGGCTTTCAATGGTAAATTATTAAAAGTTATCTTTCAACATATATTATCTTATACTTATCTCAGATTAATAAAAAACATTAATCTTGAATTTAAACAACAAAACCTCTGTTTTAATTTTGTTAGAAGAAAGAAGTGAAATATTCTAGAGTTAAAAAATTAATTTTTAAAGTTATTATATAAAATAAAATTTTGATTTAATGAATTGAAAATGATAAATAAATGTGTGGGCCGTTTATTAATATAATATTAATTAATACAAAAAATGTTAAAGATATTAATTTCAATGTCATGTCAGTTTTAATTACACATTTTGAGAAAAAGCATATTTCCAACTAGCAAACAAGTTTTGAGCTGGCCATGTGACATCCAACATTTTAATTTTGTAATCATGCCTTTATAATTACCAACTCTTTACTCATTGAGTTGTTCTAATCATTAATTAATATGTCAAAAATCAAAATAAAACTTACGTTTTAAATTTTATACTTCAACTTTTTTAAATTAAATTCGAGATAATTGCACATAAATTTACTTTTAAAGTTTATATGAGAATATAAAATTACAATTACGGGTTTATATTTTTTAATGTAAATAGAATTTGTTAGTTTTTTTAAAAAATATTCAAAATTACAATAAAAAAATTAAAATTTATCTAAAAATGAAACAAAAGATAGATACAAACATATATGATTGTATCGATAAACGAATTATAATATGGATCAAACTATTGAAGACCATCGACAATCATAAATCATAGTTGAGCATCGTGAGAAAACTATCTATGAACGCAAATTTGCGCACCCATATCCAATCCGATGGTATAAAACAAAGAAGATCAATATGATAACAAATAAGCATTATTTTGATCAGTCAAGATGATATCAAATCAAACACTGAAAAACTTAAACTATAAAAGCGGCCAAACAATTGATAAAAAAAATAAAAAAAACGTGTTAAAAGATAGAGAAAAATAATCATAAAGGCAAAGGTTGGTTCGTCTTCTAATATTATTTTGAATTCTGATGTGCATTAAGATGTTATTATGTAGAGTTTGATTTGCGTGTAGCTGACGTTCAACGTAGGACAGACGTAAGATTTTATGTTAGTATATGAAACTTATAAAATGTCGAAGGACGAAAATAAATTATCAATTGAAAATATTTAAATTATATTAGAATTTAAAATTTTCAAGGCTCATCAGCCCCTCTTGATTCATCCCTAGGGGTCTTGATTCTCTGGTACAGTATTGTTTTTCTTGCAAAGCTTCATGGTCTGCTTGAGCGTCTATTCAGGCCGAGGGGTTGCTGATTGTTTTCTTGATCTCTGGCGAATAGGTTTTTGCTGGTATGATTTGTGCCTGTTTCACTGCTGTTTTGGTTGTGCTGATGTTCTATAATTGCTACTGCTTCGTCTTGTTTCTGTTGTTTTAGTGCCTGGAGGATAATGCTGAGGGCTTTTCATTTTATTAATAAACCCAACACTTTCTTCGGTGCTTTGATGTAATAAAACGCGGCGTTTTTATTTAAAAACCCTAATAATTAATTAAATAGAAAAACAACTCACAAACAACATTATTTAAAAAAATAATCTCCAAAACTACCCACGTAAAACTACCTCGCATTATACAAAACGTGTTTAAATACATCACTTTTTACAAAACGCGTTTAAATACATCACTTTCTACAAAACGCGAGACTCATTAATTTCATATAACTTCATTTAATTTATGAATAAAGAGCACTATAAATGCATAGAACTCTTTTTTTTTGTGAAAAAGCAAGGTTTTAATCGCTTTTTACAAAAAACGCAAAGTTTAGGGGTCATTTAAATTTGCGTTTTAGGGGTCATTTAAAAAAAACTGATGTGAGGTTATTTTCCCTAAAATACTGTTTAGTGATTATTTTATGTTTAATTAATTATTGGGTTTTTTAAAACAATAACGCCTTAATGTTCTAAATATCAATATAAATGTAAATTAATTTTTATAATTAATATATTTCATAAAAATATATAATTAATATTTTTTCGATAAATTTTAAATCTAATCATAATCATACCTAGAGAGGAGGGGGAAAATGGTTCTAAGAAATGGAAGGAGAATGCCCTGTCAGCGTAAAACCAATGACCTAAGGAAATATCTAGGGATAAAGATAACAATTTGACCAACTGACCAAATCTTACTCAAATATATAACTAATTATAATTAGAGTTTGCTCTAAATATATTTATTGGTCAAAATATAACAAGAAAGTAACATGGGGATGTGGTTTTGACGTTAGGGAGATGAATTCAACTTTCAAGTGAGTTGTTGGTTCATAAGGTGGAAATAAGTCATCAATCGCTAGCTTAAGGGTACAATTCTGCGATGATAATATCTGATTGGCTCTCTAGTTCCATGGCCTATGATGTTTTTCTTTTATTGATTCTTTCGTGTGTTTGTTACTCTAATGTTTTAGGAGATTTTTTTTTGAAGTGTCAATCAAATTGTACTTATCCAAGTTGAAACTTAAAGGCAATTTTTCATTTTTCGTCAGTCTTATGTGGTTTAATTATTTAGAGTTATGATGTAATTAAGATCTTCATGAAAGTTGTTCTTTTATTAAAAATATTCGTTCTATTATTTTTAAAAAATAGTAAAAAAATTCCCATCCACCACCTATATAAATGCTTTAACATCTTATTTTATATCTAGATATCTTTTTCAATTTAATATTTAGGATTTAGAATTTGCGGGCACAGATTAATCAATTTATTTTGACCTATGTTAAATATGAGAAGTAAATCACCTCTCTTTCGTAACGTCAAAATTACTTTTTTAAGACATTTTTTTAACAAATTATAAATAAACACGTATCGAAAGTTATTTCGTCTATCATGGATTGAGCGACGTCAGTCTTTCACCTAACTCTTTTTAGATTCCTTATTAAAACAATAGAGTAAATTAAGACTATATTTAAGTCAATTTAAAGAAAATAATTATTTAAATAAATGCGAATAAACTTGACAAATCATAGCACAACTTTTAAACTTGTTAAAAGAGATAACAATTATTTTCCAACATATAAATTTGATTCTCTGACTTGATTTTATAGATAGAGGGCAAAGAGTGACTGAACTATAGGAAACTCTAATATCAGATATCATATTCAAGGTAAATTATCAGCTTTTTTCTTCAATCTTTGTATGCTTCAATTATTTAGAGTTAATGTAGTTAAGATTTCATGGATGTTGTTATTTTATTAAAAATATAGATTCTAGTATTTGCTAAAAAAATTAGTGGAAATTTTCATTTTAGCTACTAAAATAAATGCTTCGACTTCTTATATTATATCTAGACATTTCTTTCGTTTTTTTCAATTTATTTATTGGTTTTCTTATTTGAAAAGAGAAATTGAGAGAACTAGATGATTATCCATTATTATAAAATATGCCAACATGAGAAATAATTTCAAAGATGATTTGATGATTAAAATGAAAATTTAGGGTTTTTTTAGTAATTTGAATTAATTGATTATATGAGATATACAAGAGGTATAGAAAGATCTATAAATTTTTAAATCCCTTTCCCTATCATGTAAGAATTTATGATGCATGTTTCGGTATATAATATGTAGCACTATGTCTTTACTTCCCTGATTTCGAGATTTTTCGTTGTGTAGATATAATACTGCTTTGTATTCATCGTCTGGTTGTGTTTATTTTTTTTCTTTCATATAAGTTTAGAGAAGTTTTTAATGAGGCACGTAGCTTGGTTTAAGCATTATTAATAAATTTCTTTGCTGAAGAAAAAGAGAGGAATTTTCCATATGTAAAGGCCATTTGATCAAATTGAAGAAAAAGAAGAAGAAAAACTGGTCCTTTTTACTTAATTGAAATCATCTCTTTGGTCAACTTCATGCAAAGAAACCTTATTGTTTTAGGTCAATAAAGTAATTATGGTTAGGGTTTATCTTTTTTTTTTTTTTGAGGTTATTGTCAAATATGTTTACCGAAGAAGAGTTTAAAGACATGGAAGGATTGAAAAGAGGGTCAGGTTTCCTTGAGGTTAAGTGTAGGTGCACCAGCAAAAAATATGGTGATACCATTGGGAGGCTTAGGGTTTTCACCAGTGGCCAATTTCTGATATCCTGCGAATGCACTCCAGCTTGCGACGAAGGTAATTCATTATCTTCTTTGATGAACTTCAGTTGCACCTTATTTACATTTATTTTATACATGGAACAGATTCATTGATTTTGACAGTGACATTGCTGAAATTTCATATAATTATAGAATCTTTGTGTTTAGATTCACTCCTTTGGTTGACATGTTTTACTGTGAATTCTTGAAAACCAGAGAAATTGACGCCTTATGATTTCGAAAAACATTCTGGGAAAGAAGGGACCAGGAAATGGAAGAGCCACATTTGGGTGGTGATGAAGAATAAGAAGGTTCCTTTATGGAGGACTGCTCTTCTGAAATACTACAAACATGCAGCAAACGGAGCCAACGAGCTAAATAGCTTGCGAGCCAAGCGCCTTTTCCATCGTGACGAGTTCATTCGTTGCACCAGGTGCAAGAAAGAACGCCGGTTTCGGCTCCGGACCAACGAGGAATGTCGTGTTTACCATGATGCTTTGAATGCAAGGAGGTGGAGGTGTACTAACTGGCCGTACGACAAGTAAGTTTCAACATCGCGTAATCAATTTTTGAATTCGATAAAGTTCCTAACATGTAGCTTTGCATTTTTATCAGAATCACCTGCAAAGATGAAGAAGAACGAGCAAGCAGGAAGTGTTGCAGGGGCTGCCCTCAATCTCCGACGTGCAAAGGTTGTACTACTTGTGTCTGTTTCGGCTGCCTCAAGTGCCGTTTTCTTGATTGCAAGTATCGCACTTGCGTCGACTTTTCTAAATGATAAGTAAGATTTGACACATACACCAAATGATAAGTAAGTTTTGATTATTTAACATAATTAATGACAAATTGAGACGGGTACAAGATATACATTATTTTTTCTAAATACTCTGAAGTAATTATAAGATAATATATTCTTTAATTATTGACAACACACATCATGTAGACATAGTTGTTTGAACACAAGACATCTAGAGAGAATAACGCTCTTTTTAACCACTGAAGTCGTTTAACGAGATAATTCAGTTTCAAACGTTGAACATGACCTGATTTTTCATTAATTACACCAAAATTTAGATTGACACGTTGAGATAATTCGAGCTCCGATGTTTTTTAGTTAAAGTTTTTTATTTATTTATTTTAAGTTCAAACTTTTTCAGAATTTTTTATAATAAAATATAATTATATCTTTTTAGTTCATTTATGTAATTATATATAAAAAACATTAAATATATTTAATTATATTTTTATTAAAATAAAAGTTTTATTCTTATTTGTTAGCATAAAATGGATATAATAATACTTCATTAAATAAAACCAAATATTTTAAATAATTATCATAAATATTTGATATATAAATGAATTAACGTAAACTTATGTTTTAAGAATAAAAAACAATTTAAATAAAATGCAATGCTAGAAAAATGTAGGGCAATGATAATCTTATTTTTCTTAAAAGTAACTATTTCATTATATATAATTAATTTATTAGAATAAAAGTAATTATTAAATTTTATAAAACTTTTTTTATTATAATTTGATTTTTGTTCATCTTGAATCAGTCTGTAATTTGATTTTTTTATTAAAATAACTATTTTTCTTGAATTCATACCCTTCTAAATTTTCAAATTTACTTACTTTTACCACTAATTAACCCGTAATATACAAATTAATTTAGGGTAAAGTCCATAAATGATCCCCTAATTATAAAGTGTTACTTTGTTGAGTCATCTGACTATTAAAAGTTACAAAATAGTTCATCAACTATAGGTTCTGCTTTGTTGAGCTCTTCTATTATTAAAAATTACAAAATGGTGACTCTGACTATTAAAAGTTACAAAATAGTCCATCGACTGTAGGTTCTGCTTTGTTGAGTTCTTCGACTATTAAAAATTACAAAATGGTGACCCAACTATTCATATATTCCAAACTCATCATTTTTCGTTAAAAATTGATGGTTGTTTGAGATGTGCATTAATATGTTGATTAGGGTATGATAAAATATGATCTCAGAACCATTTAAGTTGTATTTTTTAATAAATTTTACATTTATAATATGCCATCAAATCAGTACTTGAAAACATTATACCATCGAGACAGTGCTTGAAAGCAACGACGATGACACTATACATCATTAAAATATGATTTTGTTATATCACAATTAGTATGTTAACATCCAATTCAGACAGACATTAGTTTTTTAATGAAAAAGGATGAGTTTTAAAACATATGAATAATCAGATAATCATTTTTTTAATTTTTAATAATTAAGGACTTACTAAAATAACGCTTTAAAATTAAATGACCATTTATATATTTTAATAGTTGAAATACTCAATAAAATAATACAATATAATTAGAGACATTTGTTTACTTTACCCATTAATTTATTAATAAAATCAACGTCAACATTTTCGGTTTATCTTTCCGAATGTAACTTTCCACTAATTTAAAAGCTTTATAAGGCTATACAAATTTTCATCTCTACTTTATAAAGCACAAACCCGCCTCCTTCCATCTACACCTCCACCACCACCGTCACTAGCGGCGCCCCCACAAAATGTCGTCGACAGAGTCCCTCATCCTCCAACTCCATAAAATCTCCGCCGTTAAATTTGGAAACTTCAAGCTAAAATCAGGGATCTTTTCCCCTATCTACATAGACCTCCGCCTCATTGTCTCTTACCTTCCCTCCTCCGCCAAATCTCCCACTCCCTCCTTTCCTCTCTCCCTCCTCAAACACCCTTTAACCTCATCTGCGGCGTCCCTTACACTGCCCTCCCAATAGCCACCTCTATCTCTCTCGACACCTCCACCCCCATGCTCATGCGCCGGAAAGAAGTCAAAGATTACGGCACTGCCAAGTCCATCGAAGGCGTTTACGAAAAAGGTCAAGTTTGTTTGGTTGTGGAAGACCTCGTAACGTCCGGAGCATCGGTTCTCGAAACGGCGGCTCCGCTTCGATCGCTGGGTATCAACGTGACGAACGCCGTCGTGGTCATTGACAGAGAGCAAGGCGGGAGGGAAACGTTGGAGCGAATGGGATTAACTTCATTCTCTCTTCACCTTAACGGAGATGGTGAAGGTTTTGAGAGCGAAAGGGAAGGAGGAAGAGATGGAAAGTTTGGTTATGAAGTTTTTGGAGGAGAATAGAAAGTACCTGTGCCTAAGGTTGAGAAAGTGAGGGTTAAGTGTTTGGGGTTTGAAGAAAGGGCTAAGATGACCAGAATCCAATTGGGAAAAAACTATTTGATATTATGGTTAAGAAAGAGAGTAATCTCTGTTTGGCTGCTGATGTTGCGACTGCTTCTGAGTTAATTGATATTTCCGAGAAGGCAAGTTTGGGGTCAGTTTGTTTTTGGATATGTTTTCATTTCTCGGGGAAATATCGAAATTTCTAGGTAAAGTATAGAAGATAGATTTCTGTTTTGGATTTATTTATTTTTCTAGGGAAAGTGATGGGGAAATGTTTAGTCTGATTTGCTTTGGATTCTTACTGTCTTAGGATACTTTTGATTTCATCAAGAATGCATAGAATGGTATATGCTTGAGAACATAGGCCTACTTACAATGAAATCATAAAGCATAAGTGTTGTTTGACTCAAACATTCTCTTACCAGACAGTTCATTAGTTTTGTTTGATTCATATTAACCATCAAATGAGTCTTTGGGGTGCTTTAGTGCTTATTCGAAACCAATGCTATACTTGACCATTTCTTGTCAATAAATTATTTTATCTTTATTTTGTTGTCATTGTGCTTGAGTTGTGGCAAAGCTTAATATGTGGGACTGGGAGCAAGGTTACTTTCAGAAATAGTCTTTTTATCAAATGATTTTTGTATGATAATCCTTTCTGGTTTGCGGGTTTTGTTGTTTCCTTAATATTTGAAATATTTGCAGGTTGGACCTGATATCTGCCTATTGAAGACTCATGTTGCATATTCCCTGATTTCACTCCGACTTTGGGTCTAAACTTCGCGCTGTATATATCAAATGCTTATGTTAAACTTATTTTGCCTTCATTTCCCTATCCAGGGGTGTTCTTTAGAATTCTTTTTTAATTTCAGTGGCAATGTAACAGTGTTGCTGTCACTTTCTATTTTCAAGAACTCTTTTTTAATTTAAATGGCAATGTAACAGTGTTTGCCATCTCTATCCATTTTCCTCATTAGTGACACTTGGTCATGGATATAGAGAAGCTATATTGAACCCCAATACCCATTGGATCAATATGGGGTTTTGTGAACTGGTTGGTTGAAGTTATGATAAGTTGGACTAACAATTCCTTGGTTCTGTATTTTGATTGAAGATTGCAGATAAATATAACTTTATGATATTTGAAGACCGTAAGTTTGCAGACATTAACACAGTGACAATGCAGTATGAAGGGTAATATTCATTTTCTGCAGCACAACTGTTCCTTTTCTATTTGCTGCCTTTGCTATCTTAACTAAGTGCTCTCGGGTTGTGTTTTTTCTGCAGGGGTATCTTCCATATATTGGATTGGGCTGATATAGTTAATGCTCACATTATCTCTGGTCCCGGAATTGTGGATGGTTTGAAATTGAAGGTTGTTGTAATTGCCCTATATTACTTTTAGCTAGATTTAAATCAGGGTTAAATACCATTTCGAATAGAATTTTATATTTTGGTACTGTTTTAGGGTTGCCTCGTGGTAGGGGGCTGTTGCTACTTGCTGAAATGAGCTCTGCTGGTACCCTTGCTACTGGAGACTACACAGCTGCTGCCGTAAAAATTGCCGAACACTCCGATTTTGTCATTGGTTTCATCTCGGTCAACCCTGCATCATGGCCTGGTGCGCCAGTAAATCCTGCATTCATTCAGGCTACCCCTGGAGTTCAAATGGTAAAGGGCGGCGATGACCTTGGCGAGCAGTACAACACTCCTTATTCTAAGTATTTTGTCCCATCATTAGTTCTCCAATTCAGCTCTTCTATTGTACAACCATGTGTATAGATTAGGAAACTTTCCTGGAACTGCATTTAAATATGTCCGGTGTAGAAAACATAATGAATGAAAACAACTCTGTTGGCCCGTTGTGTAGAAGACATGAATTTGTCCCCAAAAATGCTGTATAATAATAGTGTGTTTCGTATTTGATAATCGAGAAAAAAGATATTTCAGGTAATCTTCGATAGGGGTAGCGACATAATAATAGTGGGTAGAGGATAACTAAGGCTGCAAACCCTGGGGAGGCAGCTCGCGAATACCCGTCTTCAAGGATGGGAGGCATACATGGCTAAATGCACTTAGAAGATCTTATATCTAATCTGAAATCGTGGTTTGAGAGTAATGCACTTCCCTAATACATAGGAGCCAAATTGGTTGAGTATCTGAATCTGCATGTTTGACTCATTATATTTGTAATACATCTCGAGGCAGATCTTTTAGGTTCTGAATACTACTCCTTTTATCTTTGTTGCCGAGGCTATGCATTTTCCTTTTGTTTGCCTCACCTTCATCTTTCTCTTGCAAAGAGCTTTCGACCGGTATTCGTGTATTCAGATACAAACTTTACAGATCTGTTTAGTTTCAATCGTATAGCAGGATTTACAATTCCGATTTCACAAATTCACCATTTATGACTATGGATTCTGGGATTGATTTTGTAGCAGATTTTTAAAATTTCCAATGTGGAATAGAATAACATGATCACAATCGAGCATACAGACGCCATCTGTTGTCACCCGAAACTCAGATAACGGACAGATGTCAACATCAATCAAACGAACAACCTCGGAAACAGGAATGCCAAACAAACAATCGCATGGAATCAAGGATAACCATGAAACGATCAAGAACATAAACTTGTATCGTGCTCCGGAAATTAGACCGAAAAACAACGATAACCATGATCCTTATTATAGGAGGTCGAGAGAACAATTAATACCTATATTAAAATTTCCTCTCCTTTAAAATACAGAAGGAGTGGCTATTTATACACTTTTAGGTTAAAGAAAAAAATAAGACAATCATTGGCCAAAGACTAAACAACTACCCGAAGGTAGGAAGGAGGAGTTCGCATAGCAGTTGAACAATGGAAAAAAAAAGAGGGGTTTCGCGATTTTAAAAAATATAAATTTGAATTTAATGCTTTTAAGTGAAAAAAAATGAGATGATTCATTTGAAATACAAGATTTTTTTTTTAAAAAAATCATTTAATATTTCAGCAGTGAGAAATAAACTATCCACTTATCATATTCAACGAATTTTTTGTTAAAATTATATTAAATAAGAATTTAAATAATTATCAAAAAGATTAAAAACAATAAAGTTTAAAATTTTATTTTCTATAAATGAAAATTTCTATGACTTGTCAAACTTAATCCTTAAACTTTTGAATATTTCAATTTTGTCTCAAAACTATGACTCTCATTCTAAATTAGTCCTAAACTTATGAACATTCTAATTTCATCTCTAGACTATGACCTCTCTCTAAATTGGTCCCCAAACTTTTGAATATTCCAATTTCATCCCAAATTCATCCAAATATGTAATTAGTTTTAACCATAGTTTAACCTAAATTTGTTTATTTTCCCTTTTAAACATATATAATATAACTTGGCCTAACGATTTTATTAACAAATGTATTAGTATATGTGTATAGTTTAGAATGAAATTGGAATGTCCAAAAAGACTGGGGACCAATTTAGAATGAAGATCATAGTTTAGGGATGAAATTGAAATGCTAAAGAGTTTGAAGACTAATTTAAAATGATAGTCATAGTTCAGGGATGAAATTGGAATATTTAAAATTTAGAGACCAATTTAAAATGAAAGTCATACTTTGAAGACATGTGATGCAATACCTCCAAATTAAATGATTAAAAATATAAGCTGAGTAGGTCTTATAAATCAAATAAATTTTGACAAACTCGTAAGAATTTGTGCTCGTAAGTCGTATATATTCATTAAGTTCTCATCATTTTTAATGAAGTGTGGGTGTTAAATTTTAAGATAAAGTCAAAATCCCATTAGATAAAATTGACTGGAATAATTAAAGCCTAATTAGTGAATCTAAGGAAGACGAAAAAGAGTGGTCATTTTGACAAAACACATTCTTTGGCACACAATTCAGCTGGAATAGCTTGAGAATTTTGAGATCTTCAATGGTCGGCACAAGGTTTCCTCGTTTTGTTTTCTAGTGACGAAAGATCATGCGTCATGAACAGTGGATGTAATATTCAAATCATTAAATGATCTCAGTAATAAATGAGAGTATTGTTATCTCTAAATATTTCGAGTTCGAGCTGTTGCATTGGAAGTTGTATATGCGTGTTAATAGCTAAAAGAGATTCTAAAAAGATACATTGTAATCACTCATATTATTAAAAAAAAATCAAATTGTCCAAAACTGGTCCTATTTTGTTAAAAAAAATAACTGTCGTTTGTGCTAAATATTAACCCGTTGAGTGAGATATGATAAAATCTAGTTCTATTCTGAAGAGATACTACATTGTAATCACTCATATATTAAAAAGTTACAAAATAGTCACTTGACTATTCATATGTTTCAAACTGATCCTATTTGTTAAAAAATTAGTTGTTGTTTGTGTTGAATGTTAACCTGTTGAGTGAAATATGATAAAATATTATCCTAATCATTCGAATTGTATAGTAGTTTGAGATTCTGATATTAGATTTTATCATATCTCATTCAATAGGTTAGTGTAACTCAGACACCATCAATTTTTTAATAGAAAATGATAAGTTGGAACATGAATAATTTGGTGATCATTTATAATTTTTAATAGTCAAGAGATTAAACAAGTAACACCATATAGTCAGAAGATCATATGTACTTTACTCATTTATTCATTCCATCGATTATTGAAAGGGATCTCTTTAATTATTTTTTTTCTTTTCATTCAAATGCAATGACGGAGGGTGAGAAAAGCAGGAAAGGCCAATACCCACAAAATTTGAAAATTTATTAATAAATTTAAAAAAGGGTAAAACCTAAGACTAGATTTATTCTAGTCTTAAATCAAGCTTCAAATTTTCTACGTTTAATCAAGGCAGAAACTCCTCCAACTAGAGGAGATAAAACTTTGAAAGATAACTTGTGTTTCAACTTGGGAGTAGTAATAGATAACTTGTTCCTTCGAGTCCAGGTAGTGAAAAACTTTGAAAGATAAATTACTCTTCCAATTTAAGGCGGTGTTACATTGAAAGATAGCTTACTTGACAAAAAAGAGAATAATCTTTATAAATTTATATTTTCATATCACATTTAAAAATATTCTGATGAATAAAAATAAACATAGAAGAATAAAAAGAATTTTATTAAGCATAAATTTGATTGCAATATCTTGAAATTTCATTTGTTTCAATTCAAATACCAAACAAATACACAGATTTATGAAATTCCTCTGCTCTCCTATCCTATCCTATCACACAAACCTCTTCTTCTGTTTCTGCCTCTACTATTTATTGCCCAAACCCACCCCGAATCCATACGGGTCGAATGAGTTAGAGAAGTTTTGTGTCATCAACCCACTAGAGTTTTGTTGGAAAAGAACAGAGTTATCAACTCGCTTAGTCTGAGTCCACTCTGTACTTCCTCTTCCTCAGATTTACCAACTTTACGCGTTGACATATCCATCTGGCTTAGTGCGGGCGGCATCGTGGGAACATACAAGTCATTATCTCCATAACTCGGAAGCCCTGCTGCAAGACCGCCCAATCTAAATTCCCACAACCCAGGCCGTGGAATCCCGTTTTCTCGTCATTCTGAAGCGTTTTCAACGAGTCCACTCGTGGCAGACCAAAGAAACGATCGTCTAACTCGGGGAATGACTCAATCATGACGTCGAGTTGGGAAGA